CCTTCACTGATTGGAGCTTTGCACAGAAAGGTTCTTTATCAGTTATGTTGTAAAGAGATTTGAGGGCCCCCTTCATCTCTCTTTCCAGAGCAGCTATAGAATTAATCCAAGGGGGACAGAGACCATGTAATAAGTGCAGGAAATAACAAAAAGAGATTTAACCTGGAGAAATAGATGCAAATGCACCTGAGAGAAACTACTCAGAAATACAGAGACTATATCCAGTATGCAGAAGATAGGTGCAAAGCCTAATACAAAAACAAACCAATAAACCAACCTTAAAAGGTAATGGTGAATAGTAAATTGAAGATCTTGCAATGCTATCTGGTAGCATGCTTGCAGGCTGTGGAAACAGAAGTCTTACATCACAGAAAAGGAAAGTCCCTTTCTGTAGAGTAACATAATATCAGAGACAAAATACAGGACTATGTAGCACTTTAAAGACTAACAAGATGGTTTATTAGATTCTGAGAATCCAGATGTATGTGCAGTATTTTTTTTCTGTGCATTTATTGTGATCTCATTGTGGTGTCCAGGTATCAATATGAGGTGACATGTCATAAGGAAGGGAATTAAGAGAAGAATATACATGTACAGTCTGGCAACCAGCAACTGAGTATCTTAAGAACATAAGAATGGCCATACTGGGTCAGACCAAAGGTCCATCCAGCCCAGTATCCTGTCTGCCGACAGTGGCCAATGCCAGGTGTCCCAGAGGGAGTGAATCGAACAGGTAATGATCAAGTGATCTCTCTCCTGCCATCCATCTCCATCCTCTGACAAACAGAGGGTAGGGACACCATTCCTTACCCATCCTGGCTAATAGCCATTAATGGACTTAACCTCCATGAATTGATCTATTTCTCTTTATGTAAGGACAGTAAGATATTCTCCATCTTATTCTCTATCCCTTTTTTAATGATTCCTAACATCCTCTTTGCTTTTTTTACCGCCACTGCACACTGCGTGGACATCTTCAGAGAACTATCCATGATGACTCCAAGATCTGTTTCCTGATTAGTTGTAATTAAATTAGCCCCCATCATATTGTCTGTATAGTTGGGGTTATTTTTTCCAATGTGCATTGCTTTCATTTGTCCACATTAAATTTCATTTGCCATTTTGTTGCCCAATCACTTAGTTTTGTGAGACTTTTTTGAAGTTCTTCAGTCTGCTTTGGTCTTAAATTTTTATCGTGAGCAGTTTAGTATAGTCTGCAAACTTTGCCACCTCACTGTTTACCCTTTCTCCAGTTCATTTATGAATAAGTTGAAAAGAATTGGTCCTAGGACTCGCCCTTGGGGAACACCACTAGTTACCTCTCTCCATTCTGAAAATTTACCATTTATTCCTACCCTTTGTTTCCTGTCTTTTAACCAGTTCTCAATCCATGAAAGGGTCTTCCCCCTTATCCCATGTCAACTTAATTTACGTAAGAGCCTTTGGTGAGGGATCTTGTCTTCCTGACACCTTCTTTGAGAAGCATACTGATTTGGCCTGACTGGTCTATGTTTTACCACTGTTGTGCATTGCATGTGTGTTAAATGGTGCCAAATATTCCAAGTTTTTCTAGCTGCATAACCCCGAAGGAAGTTTAAAAAAAAGTCGAGGCAGAAGTCTGAGCGCGCACAGTCTCAGAACTCACAACAGCCGGGGCATTTGCTTGGCTTTTTAAGACCATCTCCCTGTTCACTACGGTAAATATGGAAGGAGAAAAATTGAATTGCATTGGAGAGAACAAAATCTCTAAGGGATGCCTACCATCTTGACTTACCAACACTACCCTCGACCTTCCTAAATAAAGCTTGGATGACAGGAAACTTGCAGTATCTTTGCCCTCAATTCAGTGCTGTCCTCATCACACTGTTCTAGGAAGTACAGGCACGTCGATGACTAGGCACAAGCCCAAAGGGTCAGTGTGTTGCCTTCCCTTGCTTTATAGTCATAGTAACATGTGCTTTTAAATTTTAAGAATGACATGTTTTCTGGTCTTCACTACCATTTAAAAAAAATAGAGAAGAAACTGAATTACTTTCCTTCATTATATTGCATTTGCATGGGATTTCCAGCCTCTGCTTTCATGTAAATAATAATCCAGCATGGCTTGCCCTGCCTTACCTCTAGGCCAGGGCTACTCAACTTTAGAAGCCCTAAGGGCCACAATGATACTCACAGCACATGCCAAGGACCACAACTTAAGTCAAATGTATGCAAATAGCTTATTTCACACTAACAGGCATGAATACACAGGTTAAGGCAAGACTACGCAACACACAGGCCCCTTTTAAGTCAGTTCTGCTGATATTAATAAAATGCAATATTTACCCGCTTTCCATCCATATGACAGCACTTTTAATGAGCAATGACAGTCCAGGAATGTAACTAATAAAATGCATATCAACAGAAGACCATTATATTTACTACTTCTTTATTTTGGCTCCCGCCCGCGGGCCACATCTTGAGCCTCGCGTAAACCCAAACCGCACCACGGGCCGCAAAAAGACAGGCTGCGGGCTGCATTTGGCCTGTGGGCTGCATGTGGCCCTTGGGCCACATGTTGAGTAGCCCTCTACTAGGCTAATGCCAAAAATAAGGGCTTCATAATAATAGCGGAATACATTTCCCGATCCATTAGAGAATTTGGCTTTTAGTTCTGGAATTTAATCAGCTCATGGAATGTGCCTCTGTCTGGAAATGACACAGAATAAACTACAGAAAAATATTTTTCCTTTGACCCACTGTTTTCTGTGAATAGTCTGGTGCACTGTCCTTTAAAACCTGCTCCCAGAATGCCACTGTGAAATGGAAAAGATCGACAGGGTCACACTTACGGTATTATATTGGCAATATATGTACATTCATGAGACAACAAAGGGGTTAAATGATATAAAACCTCAAGGGGATCATTTTTACTAGGGTCTGTCCCCTCTGGTAAAGATGGGATCTCTATTTTATTTCCCCAAAGTTGAGGGGGTATTAGGTTGTAGCATTTTGAGCTGCTCTCATAGCTACCTTGGATAGGCCAGATTTTGTTTTCAAAAGTAGATTGAGTGTAGGTTTCTGAGTCTCAAGACTTATCCTTATAAGGACAAATCACTTTAGAAATAGAAAATGAAATAAAAACAATGTTAGTGCTATTATAAATGTTTCATGACCAAGATCCGTTTTAAAAATAATGCTTTTAAGAAAACGTCTCATTGCCACAGCATTAGTGGCAGAACAAAGAACCTTCTTATACAATAATTGAATAGTTTCCATGATAGAAAGACACAACTGAATCTAATTTTTATGTAGAGTTTTTATTTTGTTTTATGAGACTTATACTTTGCATCTCTCTCACTACACCATCCTCATGGTGAAAAGATTAAAGAAAGCTTGTTTGCCATTTGCCTGGCAGCAAAATACATAGCAGTATTCTAAGCACTCTTGTTTCAAAAGCAATGTTTTTTATAGTAATGTCATAGAGGCACAGAGAGGACAGGGCCTTCAGGTTTCCAACTCTTTAACTGGGACAGGATGCTGAGGCACTATCTGATCCTTAATTCAAAGAGGATTGTCTTCTCTTTAGCTTCTCCCTCTTTCACAGATGCTTAGGTGGCTTTAAGAGTGTCTGTTTATATCCCTGTTTTTGGGAAAAGCACACACCATAACCAGGACCCTGGACTGAGCTGAAGCCCAAAGTTGGACTCTGTTTATCTTCTACTGTGTTATCTTACATTCTGATCACAGTATCATTCATCTGGTATGCTGGGGGATTTCATTGGCAGCAATGATGTCTTTTCTTTTAGGCTATGGCTAGACTTCACAGTTTTTCTGGGATACCAGAGGTATCCCGGAAGAACTGTTCTGCATCCGGGGAACACATTTGCTCTTCTGCTTTTTTTTGCAGAAGAGCAAATGCACTCTTTCAGAAGCCCCTGTATTCCTCGTTTCACAAGGAATGAGGGGGCTTCCGAAAGAGGGTTTTTTTTCTGACATTTGGCCCAGTCTAGACAGGCCAAATGACAGAAAAGACTCTTCCAACAAAAAGAATTGGAAAAAGCTATGCGAAATGTGGAGCGCATTTTGCATAGCTTTTTCCGGGAAAAAAAAACCAGTGTAGTCTAGCCGTACCCTTAGTCTCTCTCTGCTCATAAGCAATAACTGCTAGAGAGAATAACTTTTTTCTTCCCTTTGAGTAATAAAACAACACGCGTGCTCTGATGGTTCATAGCATATGAATAGATTCCTTACCAAACTGTTTCTGATATTACCAAGTGACTCAGTTAATTGGAATTGTCCAAACAGTGGAAGTGTTACCAGGAAGTATGGCAGGAAGAGAAACTTTGTAAATATAGTCCTGCCTGTCCTGCTTTCTCCACTGTGCCCACCCAAGGATGTCAACACAATATATCTGTGAGTGCCTCTAGATGGTGTTTTGTTGGCATGGTGCAAGGCTAACAATTGACAAAGACCAGACATCAGGGTGGAATTACCCCTTGCAGAGAACTGGTAATTTTTAAATGTACATTTCAAAGATGAAATGTGATAATTTTATGGCCCTTAAAAATAAGTAATAAGCCAAGTGTCTAATCTGCCTGTTTCTTCAGAGTCGTGTTGTTATGAATGGAGGAGGAAAAACCTTTACATTTAAAATAAATGTTTAATATGTTAGTGGTGAGAAAACAGATGACACTGGAGGGTGTGAACCACTTGTCTCATACTGTGCCCAGCTTATCCATGTTGTACCTCTTCCTCTTCTGAGTAACCTCCTTCTGGTCCCATATCTGATGGAGTGACTACACTGTGCAGTGAAACTGCTGCCCTTCTCACTTGCCAATATAAAGGAGTTCTGTGTAGTTATTCAGGGGATACAGTCTGATCTCAGACTAGTGGATTTTACACAATATGCTGCAAAGTCACCCATTTAGCTGAGACTGAAATTAGGCCTTTTGGTGAGTGCAGTGAGAATTCCCTCACCTTAGCAGGTCTAGCTAATTGTATGCTCTATTTTCCCCCAGATTGTGATGTACATAGGTCAAGTCACTAAGGACATCCTGAAGTGGCCTCGTCCTCATTCACCTCCGGTTGTGAAGCTGGAAATGAGAGCAGAATATGGAATGCCATCCACCCATGCCATGGCAGCAACGTCCATTTCCTTCACATTGTGTATTTCAGCAGTCAACCAAAACGAGGTAGGGAGGAACAAGCACATGTCTGATCCCACTGAACTTCAGTGAGCATGAAAAGGTTCAGTGCTTTTGCCCACCAATACTGCCATGCTCACTCATGCCTACCTTCCATTGTTGCAATAGGTTAATACTAGGTATGACAGGAACAGTTGTGGAAGTTTTCCCAACTCAACAGGGATGGCGCTAGCTCTGTCATTGCTGAGTTGTAATACTGTGTGACGCTTCAGGGAAATTTTCTGTTTTCTCACTAAGTATTGGCCACTCAAACTGCAAGGCTCAGAAAGAACTCTTCACAACAGTCATGGTATGAAATACGTCTTGTATTGTACAGTTACACTGACATAGTTACTCAGGAGCAACTGTAGTGTAAGCACTCAGTGGGTTAAGAATGTTCAACATTGCATGGGAGGAACTGCAAAGGGGAGCTCTGTATTGCCAGTGACAATGAGAATTTCAGTTGCACAGAAATATTTTTGTGAAATTTCTCTAAAAATGTAATCTCTTAATGGTCGTGTTGCACTTTTCAGATTAATAGTGTATAGACTGTTTTAATCACTGTTATTGGAAAATATTACCAAAGCCTGACAGGCAAATATCACTGTCCAGTTCACTGCACAGATACTATTGTTGTGGGTTACTCAGAGAATCTTATCAAAAAGACTCATTTGGAGAGTGAGACTGTGTGTAGATTTTGCTCTCTTTGTTACTGTGTACTTTTAAAATATTGACAAGCACTCAGGAAACTTGCTTGAATAATGCTTAGTGAGGGTGTATGATCAATGTGAGCATGAGGCATAAGCATGTCTTTCTTCTTGCTCCACTGAGGACATAATCTTAATATAGTGACCAAATTGGCAAAGCTGCAGAACACCTGCAGATTCCATCCATAATAGGGAGTTGTGAGGTCAGTCCCTCAGAAAAGCCATCCATATGGTACTGATCCTTTAAAAATAACAAAACTGTTGGAAGTTTAGGCTCACTTAGTATAGTAGCAAATGTGAAGTTCTATGTAACATGGCTACCTGGACTTCATAATGACAGCATGCCTAAACCTCTGGCCTTACTGCTACTAGACCCTTCTACTTGAGCTAACTGAAAACTTATTAAACTGTTAGCAATAAAGGGCCACGGCAACCGGTTAGACAATCCTGACTCTGCCAGATGGCAGTACACATCCATATTAGCTTATTCATTACAAGTACTTTTTTCACTCATGTGAATTTGTGCACTAATACTGCACCCTATAAATTATTGCCCTCCCCCCCCCTCCCCACCGTGATGTAGAGCCCCATGACACCCTCCTCCCCGGCCTAGTGCCTGCTGCTTCTACAGCAAGGTGACTCAGTGCCTGACATTCCATGACCCAGGTCATGACATGTACTTTGAAAACCACTGATCTAGAACTTCAATTGATCACTTTTCTGTACCAGCCCTGAAATTGCATGAGGAGAAGGGAATAAATTGGGAATATTCTATTTAAGAGGTAAATCCGAGGCACAGGAAAAGGAGGGGAAAAGAGCATTAGAGGAAATCAGATGAGTATGTGTAGTCATAGGTCATGCTTTCCACAGGAGGGTCTTGGATACTACAGTGAGTGTTAAGGCCACATATGTAAACATGCAGCTCTTCAAAATCACTTCTGATCTAACCAACCCTCTTCCCATCCCATCCATCCAGTTGTGGGACTCTCTTGAGTCACTTGTGCCAGTCAGATGATTTTTGTTATGCAGACACAAACCTCCTCTAGGAGCTAAAATGAGGCCATCAGACTCATTTTCATGGATGATCTAATCCAGGAGTTGAATGAAGGGGTGAAAGGCTAATACATTAACCTAGTTCTCTACCAAGCATTTCTCTCTTTCTATAATCAAAAAATTCTTTACCAAGTTATTTAAAATAGCTGATTCTATGCTGAAAAGGCCATTTTGAGCAAGAATAAAGCAAATAACCCTTATATAAGCCCTAGATGATGTTTGGTTTTACAGTTAAAGCACTCAGACTGGATTACAGTTTTAGACTAGCCATTGATCCCCTCCCCCCACCTGAGAACTATTGATCACACCATGTGTCATACTCTAGGGTTATCACATTTCCCTCTCACCCAATCTATGCAAACATCACTGATCTCTTGAACAGTGTCCTGTGCCTTATTTTTTTAAAACTTTTTTATTTCTAATGCATAGTCACTTAGTGCAAGAACTACTAGAGTTTGTGGTGATCTTTCATTGTACGTTCAGAAAATAAAAAACAAAAACAAATGTACAGATGCCGTATCATCCATGGCTCATTTATGCTATCCTTAGACCTACCTTCCAAAAGGGAGTCTTAAGATCTTCCACAGCCTGCAGGAAATAAAGTAGCTTGTATTGTAAACACAGTGCTGCCAATATTCAGCCTGAGAGTACCTGGTTGGAAAACTCTGATACGCATTAGATCTCAGGAATGTTAGAACTTGAGATCTGATTCTAGAATACCATGTGGGTGTTGTCCATTAGATAATTTATTGTAGGTATTTATAGAAAATATATGAACTTAATCTGAATGCCGGAAACCTTTCTTTCTACAGTATCAATTTGTGCTAGGACTAATGGCAGCATTTGTATTTTCCACGCTGGTGTGTCTCAGCAGGCTTTACACTGGAATGCACACTATACTGGTAAGGATAAAGATATACTGTTCTTCAGTCTGTGTTATTTTACTGGCACTTTAGAATCTAAGCACATCTTATGAGTGAAAAAGCTGACGATATTTCTGGCTCCCTTCCCTGCCAACCAGAGGGAAAGCTGGCATTTTTATGTAAAAAATATTTTAAAATATTTCTTTTACATACACAGAAATGTAGGAGTGTGAAATAGAACTGAAGTGACTGTGCAAAAATGGTACTCTTTTAGGAGTGGTGGGACAAAAAGGTGGATTTTCAATATTCAAAGTGAAATGCCAAGCAAGTGGTGGTTTTCACTGGTCCTGCTCCCACGAAGCTCTGTTTCCCGTGGTCATAAGCTACTTCAGGGGTGATGTGTGAGGGGACATAAGGGGATACATGCCCCCCCCCCAACACATTGGTGGGGCAAGGTATTGGCCAGCAGGTGACAGGGTCAGAGTCCTGCATCACTTGAGGGAGGGGTAGGACCCCCCTCCCCCGCCCCCTCACCTCATAGACTCATAGACTCATAGACTTTAAGGTCAGAAGGGACCATTATGATCATCTAGTCTGACCCCCTGCACAGTGCAGGCCACAGAATCTCGCCCACCCCTCTTAGAATAATCCTCTCACCTATGTCTCAGATATTGAAGCCTTCAAATACTTTGAAGGCCCCAACATGCAGAGAGTCCTTCAGCTGTGATCTGTGCCCAATGCTACAGAGGAAGGCGAAAAACCTCCAGGGCCTCTGCCAATCTACCCTGGAGGAAAATTCCTTCCTGACCCCAAATATGGCGATCAGCTAAACCCTGAGCATGTGGGCAAGACTCACCAGCCAGACACCCAGAAAGTTCCCTATAGCAACTCCTATCATCCCTCCATTGACCTATTTCCAACTGGAAATGAATGGTCAATTAGTTACCAAGATCATGTTATTTCATCCAACCATCCCCTTATCATAGAATCAGTACTGGAAGAGACCTCAGAAGGTCGTCAAGTCCAGCCCTCCGCTCTAGGCAGGACCAATCCCATCTAAATCAACCCGGCCAGGGCTTTGTCAAGCTGAGACTTAAACACCTCTAGGGATGGAGACTCCACTACTTCCCTAGGTAACCCATTCCAATGCTTCACTACCCTCCTAGTAAAATAGTTTTTCCTAATATCCAACCTGGACCTCTCCCACCACAACTTGAGACCATTGCTCCTTGTTCTGCCATCTGTCACTACTGAGAACAGCCTCTCTCCATCCTCTTTGGAACCTCCCTTCAGGAAGTTGAAGGCTGCTATCAAGTCCCCCCTCACTCTTCGCTTCTGCAGACTAAACAGACCCAAGTCCCTCAGCCTCTCCTCGTAGGTCATATGCTCCAGACCCCTAATCATTTTGGTTGCCCTCGGCTGGACCCTCTCTAATGCGTCCGCATCCTTTTTGTAGTGGGGGGCCCAGAACTGGACACAGTACTCCAGATGTGGCCTCACCAAAGCCGAATAAAGGGGAATAATGACATCTCTGGATCTGCTGGCAATGCTCCTCTTAATGCAGCCTAATATGCCATTAGCCTTCTTGGCTACAAGGGCACACTGTTGACTCATATCGAGCTTCTCATCCACTGCAGGAGCAGAGTGAGCTGGGGCCAATGAGTGTGAGGTGGCTGGACCCCTGCTGCTGTTGCCAAACCTCCAGCCCCATTAGTCCCCCTGGACCACATTGATTGGGGAAAGAGGGGGTAGGGGTGCAAAGGTGGAGCATGCGTGGGGAGGAGGAGGAGCACGGGCAGTGGCGGATATAGGGCAGGGCGAGCGGGGCGGCTTCCCTGGGCCCTGATTCTCAAGAAGCCCTGCGCATGCGCTGTGTCAAAGGGGGGGCCCCCGTGAAATTGTGCTGGCCTGGGCCCCGCAAAATCTACATCCACCCATGGGAGAGAGGCAGGGCTTAGATTGGAGGAGAATTGTCCCATCCCTTCCCGAGGCTGGAGGCGGTTCATTAGGCCAGTGACACTCCCCCCCACACACACATCTGTCACCCTTCACCGGTTGCCCCTGAGCTACTTTGCATTGATTAACAGTTTGCACAAGTAGAAGTTGGCTGTTGACTATCCCAATACCTAATACTTCTGGAGGGGTGTCAGAGCTAGCCACCTTGCTTATTCCATGCACAAAGCACTATGAACTTCAATTTAAGAATGTTCCCAAATGCCTTCCTCATCAATCACAACCATTAAACATCCAGGAAATTGCTAGTTAAGCAATATTTCCACCCAAATTCCTTACCGCTCCGCAAATACATGCTGTCCAGCTCCATGAGAAACTCCCTTTGAATTCCAGCACCTATCCAACCATAACACACATCCAGTTTCTTATAATCGTACACAAATGCGTAGTCTGAATTCTGACTGCATGTTTTTCCAAAAATGAAAAATGACTCGTACATTTTCCTCTAGAGAGATAGCTGAGTGTAGCTTAAGTTAGGGTTAAACTTGTGTATTTGAACACATTTGAAAAACTGAATGTGTGCACTTTGGCTGGTGAATATGTAACTGAAAGGGAGTTTGTTATGCAGCTGAGGCGCTTGGTGGAGTGTGAGGTATTGTGGATAAAAAGGCAGGCGAGTTCAGACTGGTGAGAATGTGAATGTTGGTTTAATTGTTGATGTCCTGGACATTCAGTGACTGAATTGATAGAAAATGTACTGAAGAAAGTTAACAGTATGATGGGTGTGGTAGTTTCACTATTGCATTCCAGAAGTATTAGATAGGGTTTAGGGATGTGAAAGTGTAACCATTTATCCGGTTAACCAGTTTGCTTGGGCTCATCAGTTAACGTGCATAGTTACACATAGTTCCTTCACCTCAACCTCAGCCTTCAGAAGCAGCAGTGGAGGGGGGAGCCTGTGCTTGCATGAGGCCAGCTTAAAAGCTAGCTCCCCGCATACACCAACTCCTGGAGAGCCAATTGCCGCCTCCCCTCCCCCCACCCACAGTAACTGTGGAACTGCTACATTTTTCACTGGTTACATGTTTACTGTAATAAACAAATTTTAATATCTCTAGTAGGGATTGGTTTAGCAGAACAAAATACTAAATCAGTGAGGCTATGTCTAGACTGCAAGCCTCTTTCGAAAGAGAGCGACTAGACTGCACGTTGAACTTTCGAAAAAGTGGCTTGCTTTTTCGAAAGAAAGCATCCAGTGAGTCTGGATGCTCTCTTTCGAAGAAGCCCTATTTACATTGAAGAACGCCTTCTTTCGAAAGAGGAACTTTCGAAAGAAGGCGTTCTTCCTCGTGAAATGAGGTTTACCGCCATCGAAAGAAAAGCCGCGTTCTTTCGATTTAATTTCGAAAGAACGCGGCTTGAGTCTGGACGCAGGGGAAGTTTTTTCGGAAAAAGGCTACTTTTCCCGAAAAAACCCCTGAGTCTGGACACAGCCTGAGGCATTCTGGACGCCTACTTCTATTTCTTCAGTGCAGGCAGAACGAGTTAAAATTGCTTATGTATGTGGAGTTAAGTTAGGTTATGACATAAGGGGCAGAGCACTTTTCTGTTAAGGGTACAATGTAAACCTTAATGAAGGAGTCATTAGGAGCCCTTTATAACAACAGGAAGCTTTATAGTAATTTGTATGTGATTATCAGAGATGTGCAGCACTTTCCTAAATATGAAATTCAATGAATGAAAACATTTTCAGTTTACATAATACATCATTAATAGTATTTGAATAAATATTATATTAGTTTTAATGAAATATATTCTGAATTATGAATAAAGTAATTACATTAGTTGTAATGATGATATAAATCTGATGCATTGTAAAAGACAAATTCCTAATAAGATGATGATTATCCATGAGATATGGCCTGACCTTTTTTTCCCAACCTTATTGCATCAAAACAATGTCTTTAAAAAGAAAGAGGATGTTTCCAATCTAGTTTTAACTAGTGACCCTAAGTCAATCCATACAAATTCTTAGCATATTTCCCTTGGTGTCCCATGATAATGAAAGAGACTTTTCTAAATTCAGATAGCATTTATGATAAAGAAGAAACAGCCCTTCGTGCGCCTATTTCAGATTGCTTCTAAACCCCCAACTCCTTAGTTTAACAGCGAGAAACGTATTTCAGTAAAGCGTCTCATTAAAAAGATCATGGTAGTGAATGGAGCTGAGGAAATAATTTATAAGAATAATTATCTCACGAAACAAAATACAGGACTATGTAGCACTTTAAAGACTAACAAGATGGTTTATTAGATGATGAGCTTTCATGGGCCAGACCCACTTCCTCAGATCAAATAGTAGAAGAAAATAGTCACAACCATATATACCAAAGGATACAATAAAAAAAATGAACACATTTGAAAAGGACAAATCACATTTCAGAACAGAAGGGGGAGTTCACAATTTATGCACCCATTATTTATATCTCCTATTGGAGTAGTATGTAAGGAAAAATAATTTACCTTTAGACTTTTCTGTAAGCTTCCTCTAAAAACAAAGTAAATAATTTACTTTGTGTAAGAAATATAGATTTAGGATTGATGTTTTTATTGTTCATTATATAAACACAAACACATAGATGTGAAGCAGATTGTTCTGTAATTCACATCCCACAGCCTGCACCTATCATCTCTATTACATTTTTTTAACAGCCCTATTACTTCTGAAGGGATTTTAAATGCTTTCTAAACTAACATACAAACTATATGTCAGGGTCATTTTACCCACCCTGGAAATGTTGGCCAATATTTGCTGCATATCATATTTGTATGTAGCAAATATTGTTCAACATTTTAGGACAAGCAGTGTAGCAGAATATCATATCCAAACAAAACCATTAGAGGAATTGAAGTAAGCAGAAGAATACCCAAGGGCTGTGTCTACATTGGCACCCTTTTCCGGAAAAGGGATGCTAATGAGACCAGTCGGAATTGCAAATGCCGCGGGGGATTTAAATATCCTCCACGGCATTTGCATGAACATGGCTGCCTCTTTTTTCCGGCTTGGGGCTTTGCCGGAGAAAAGCGCCAGTCTAGATGGGATCTTGTGGAAAATAAAGCCTTTTCCAGAAGATCCCTTATTCCTACTTTCAAGGCTTTATTTTCTCCGGCAAAGCCCCGAGCTGGAAAAAAGCGGCAGCCATGTTCATGCAAATTCCGCGGGGGACATTTAGCGTTATTTGCAATTCCGACTGGTCTCATTAGCATCCCTTTTCCGGAAAAGGGTGCCAATGTAGACACAGCCAAGATGAAATAGGATTAGCTTTCTTGAGACATGGGTTTCCACCAAAATAGACCTGAAGAAGAGCTCTATGTAAGTGCAAAATCTTGTGTCTCTCCCCCAATGTAAGTTGGCCCAATAAAAAATTATCACAATAGTAATAAATATCTTTTTACACACAATGTTGAGATTTTGGAAAATGCACTTGCTTTCAATTGTTTGTTGCTCATATTTAGAAGAAACTCCTGTTGATTCTGGGTAACATTTTCAAAAGCACCTATATCACTTAGAAGCATAAGTTCCTTTTTCAAAAATGATTTAAGCACTTAGGCTCCTAAGATTCATTGAAAGGTTCCTAAATTATTCAGGTGTGTTAATTTTTTTTCTCTATATTATTAGCCTTTGGGATCAAAATTTAAAACTTTCTCTGTTAACAGAGAAAAATCATGTATAAGTTAAGATCTTTGTTACGATTTTAGAGGGAATTCAAACTTGTCTGTCATACAGTAATTTTGTGTGTGTGTGCATGCTCATGCACATGCATGTAAATCTTTAGTTAGTCATAATGTGGGGCATACAGAATTAGATCCACCAAAAATGTATACTTGAAAAATCATACAGCATACTTAATTTTTTAAAAACTGAATTTCCCTGGGCAAAAAGGAAACCAGCACTCTTTTATTCCATTATAAAATGACTGACAAAATAAAAGTGTTCACAAAGGAAAACTTTAACTAACCAAGTCAGTAAATAGAGGTTCCCTGTTCAGGCATTATTATCCAAATGTAAACAGTCTTTAGTGATCATCTAGAGTAGGTAGCAAAATAGGTATTAACTGGAAAGAGAAGCTATTCATATGCAAAATGGATGGCTCTTACCATATACTTATTTCTATTACTGCTGAATCCTTTTTACACTGTATTCTTTTTAGAATTAATGAATCTCTGACTCCATATAGAAATATTGAAATTCACAATCAGATTTACACCACTGAGGATTTGGGGGAGTAATGTATTTTGTAATTATAAAAAGTTTTTTGGACTTAAATGTACTAACAAGCCCTATTGTTCTCAGAGGGGTAGCTGTTTTAGTCTGTAACTGAAAAAAACTTAAAAAACAACAAAAGTCCTGCAGCACCTTAGAGACTAACAAAACATGTAGATGGTATTGTGAGCTTTCGTGGCCCAACCCACTTCTTCATATGACTGGAGTAAGGGGTCCAGGGTACAAATAAACAGCAGAGAAAGAGAGGGTACAAGGATGAAAAGAGAAGGAAAAAATAGGAAAAAATATTGTCAATTAGAGTGTCTGTGCTAAATGAGGCTAATAGACTGGACTATAAGTACCTGGTGCTTAGCTTTTTATGTCATTAAGGTGTGGAATGTAGCAGTCCATCCAGGTCAGGTTTTTGTTCAAACCTTGATTATAGGTGTCAAACTTGCAAATGAAACCTAGTTCTGCAGCTTCTCTCTCCAGCTGGTTTTTGAAATTGCATTGTAATAGTATAGTCACTTTTAGATCCATTAGTGAGTGCCCAAGCAAGTTAAAATGTTCACCAACAGGGTTCTCTGTGTTGGTTTTTTTATGTTCTTAATATTTGACGTTTAGGTGATTAATTAGCTAATTAAAAAAGTCTGGGACCAGGCCTTGCTGCTTCACGTGGCTCCCCTTGGCTGGAAATGGTGAACTGGAGCCAATGGGAGCTGAGAGGGTCCGTGACTATGGACCCCTTAGGTAAACAAAGAGGCGCGGGCCCTCGAGCAGTTCTCTCAAAGTGGGCCCACGGCTCACTTTGGGGAATGCTGTTCTAAATGGAGTTTGCTCAAAAGCAGTTCACCTATAAGCTCTGACCCAGCATAGAAATGTTCAACTGTAAAGAAATTCTTAGAAAGCTGTGATCTTGTTTGCGCTGTTGCACTGAGTCTGTAATGCGTGCGGGCTCTTTAGCTACATAATAACAGGCCTATGTTTATGAAGAATATAATCTCTGTATTGCTTTTAGAGCTCCATACCTGCAGCAGGTTGCAAAACAACAGTGAAAATGTTTGTCACAGGATAGCATGTGTCTCCTTTCCTAGTATCACTGTGGGCAACAGCTTTATAAAAGTCTTCAGAGCAGCTTATTTATTTCAGTTTATAAATTAGGTTTTAACCTCCATGGTCCTGCCTTAAGCAATTAGCTAACAATCCAGACTTCAGTAAATGCTATAACAAGAATTCTTATGCGTTGTTATTGCCTGAAGGCTCCTACACCAAGCCAAACTAGAGAAATGCAGCATTTAAATATTTTACATTGTGTATCATATCTCTGTGGTTGTTTCCTCCCTCAAATTTAATAATATACAGTTTCTTTTGTTAAAGGAACCACATAACTTTTCTCTTGCTTGTGCAAACTAAGAAATCATAATCCTGTTGCTATGGAATGAAATTAGCTGTGGGATTATGGGTGGAGAAATATTTGCATTAATAGAAATCTGCTGTTTAAACTTGTTTTAATAGAGACCCTGAAACTGTCATGCAAATATATTCTTCCATTCATTTATCAGATGTTAACTGGCCCTCAGAAAACAATTGTACAAGGGATAAAATCTTGCTTACGCTACTCAGGAGGAAAATCCACTCTGAAGTCAAGAGGAATACTCACAGGCATGATGCAAGAAAAATTAAGGCTAATGTATAATTTGTTGTGTCTCACACAAAGCTGTGCATCTAATCTGTGTTTATATATCCACTCATCAGCACAAGAGCTAAACTCTGGCTACAATTTAAGTTTAACAATGAATTAAGCCTGGAAAAGGGACACAGTTTTACCTAATATATTCTTTTGTTCAGGGAAAGGTTTCTTTCTGTCACCTCAGTATTGTAGCAAAACATAGCTAAAGAAATGGGGCTTGAAATGTGCACTGAATGTGGCCAACCTGGTGTTCATTATGATTACCGGTAACAGTGTTAGAGCACTTAGGGTCTACAAAGTTCTGCCCATGTTTAGCTGAATATTCTGACTAGGGATGTACACACCTAGTTGACTACCCAATAAGCATATGGTTATTGGGTAGTTGAGTAGTAACTTGACTAGTCTCTTCCTCTCACCCCCCCCCCCCCCCCCCCCTTGCTGCCTCTATCAGAGAGAGGGGCTAGAGGAGGCAGAGGCGCAGCATCTTGGACCAGGCGAGAGCCGGGACAGCTGATTCCCGGCTTGCACTCGGTTCCCCCTACTGCATCTCTGCTTTTTAAATGTATTAAGAGCCACTAGGCTCTTAATACATTTAAAAGGCAGAGCCGCAGCGGGGTTAGCTCCAGGGCTGAGAGCTAATCCCGCTGTGGCTCTGCAGTTTCCCTACTTATCAACCAATCAATTACTTGATTAGCTGATTAAATGCAATTTAACAACCCTAATTCTGACACCTTTCTTTTTAGTAAGTAATTCATTATTAGAGCACTGGAATGGTAGGGAAGGAGGAGAAAGGGCATCATACCTGTTCATTTGAAAAAATAATACAATTGATGCTATTAATGTTCCTATTATTTCTCACTATTGTAATGTGTTACTTCATAGTTTACTGTATTTTTGGTGGGGGAGGAGGGAACATAATGTATTCAATCTTAGATTATACATTTAATAAATAAATACATGTAAATGTGAAGAATGCATCTTCCTAAATTATTGCCAGCTTTTAAACTGAGAAATTGTTTTGAAAGTCTGATATCCTTCCATGTTTTAATAATTTTTTTTCTGGTTAATTCCCATCTTTACAGGATGTGATTGGTGGAACTCTGATTTCAGCTGCATTAATTGCACTCACATGTCCTGCATGGGATATTATAGACCATCTGATGTTAACTAGTCCATTCTGTCCTATACTTTCCATAGTTGTGCCTCTTTTCTTATGCTACAACTATCCCAACCTAGAGGATTACAGCCCTACCCGAGCAGACACAACTACTATCCTTGGAGCAGGAGCTGGAGCCACCATAGGATTTTGGTTAAATAACCTGTATGCAGCATCAAACTATCCCAATGAAAGTCTGCAGCTCAGTTTTCCTTCAATCGGTGAAATGATGATGGTGGTACTGGCAAAGTTCTTAGTAGGGATTTTTGTTCTTTTGGTCGTACGTTATTTCATCAAAGGCATGGCCCTCCACATTTTGTGTTCCAAGTACCAGGTTTCTGTCAATGATCTAGAAGCCAAACGACGACTGGAAATAGAAGTGCCCTACAAATTTATAACATATTCTTCTGTTGGCTTCAGTGCAACAGTGATTGTCCCATTATTGCATGAGTTATTAGGATTAATATGAGTGCTGTGCATTATTAGAAATAATTTATGGCAAAACCATGTCAGAGATGCAAAAAAATTACACAAAGATATAAGACTTTGCCAAAAAGTATGGTGTACCTGTCTGCACTGGCCTTAAAATACCTACTATTGAATATCTCAGGGAATCAGTTTGTATAAATAATTTAGGGTTAGACATTACTGGCTATTATGTACCCACAACTACAGATCTGTGATCTAGGTGGTTAGTATTATGAGTATAAAGACAAGAACTCCTATTTATATGGCTTTTGTTTACTTTCCAAAAAGCTACCATGTGCTAGGATCAGTGTTGTCTCACTCAGGATTCTGCCTCAGTATGTCACTTTTCAGTTTTGGAAACATCATGAAGGTGATGCTCACATGATTCCCCTCACTGCATCCTACAATCCCTGATGGTCTCCCACACTTCAGGTAAGGGGTTCAGTTTTATGCACCCCACAGAGGGTGTAACAGAGGCAAGGGAACAATCTTGCTGCAGAGACAGAACCAGCTGCACAGTGCTCAGGAATTGGGGTTAAATCCTACTGTTAAGGAAAAAAGTGTGCATGTGTGCACAGTGGGAGTTCGTCTTGTGTGGAAAAGACGCTGCCAATCTATTATTAAAGGTCCACTCTTCAGCCTATCAATTCTCAGTATTGTGTTGGCCCTGGTAATTGAGCAGCCAAAGGAAGGAAATGCTGAGGGGGACAAATCCACAGGGAAGGTAGCGGGAAGTTTGAAGTGATCAAAAAGGCTACATGGGTAGTTAGCCAAAACCAAAATAAGAATAGCTTGAAATGACGTAGGACCATGAAGCTGTGCTTAAAACTGGCATTGATTCAGTGGAAGTGTCCTGCTGACTAAGATACCAGATGCTCTTGGGAATGAACACGCACAGAAACCGTAAACCTAGATAGCATCACACACATTTCCCTTGAGACTGCTCTTCATTGTTAAATGTTGAAATTTGATGATGCTTTGTATTTGCTACTTGATGTAATCTGTCTTCTGAGTACAGACATTCTTCCTTATTAAGACTTGTTTTACCAATTGGAATGCTTCAGAAAACTAACTTTATTCTTGTATGTTTCAAAATGTGACTTACATATTACTGGAAATTCTGCTTGGAAATGCTCCAACTAGGGAATGTAGGGAGTCCATGTGCTCCTGGATCAATATCGCAGCTGACATAGATTTCCTCTTAACCAAGTCACTTACTCACCTAGCCTCAGTTCTCCCATCTGTGAAAAGGCAACAGTAATATCTGAAAAGGCAACAGGGATGCTGTGAGGACTAATTAGCATTTAAAGTGTATCATGTAAAGTGCTGAATATTAATATTCAAATAACTATAAAATACACTGAAGTGATTCCATAACTTTCTAGTGCTAAGCTCCACCATGCTTTGTCTTCTATGCATCTTGAAATTGGATACAACAATAATTGTGTTCTTAACCACTAATAGTTAAGGGTGGCTGCTGCTGCTACTTCCAAGCCAGTTAAAAGTATTAGCAATTGCACCAGAGAGCAGCTAGAAGTTCAGCTGTGATGAGCCATTTTTTTAAACTGAACCATATGCTGCTCGACCTTGACTTCTCCTACAGTCTCTCCTCTGCCGCAGTTACATGTTATACTGTTATAGCTGAAAGCATGCTCTGGAGACCTTTTCTTTCATCATTTATAGTACGTAGAGCCACCACTTTCCTATTGGTCGCTGTTTTTTTTAATCATTATTTGAGTATGTTGAGGATCTAGGCCATTTAAAAAAAAACTAGCATTTTCCTCCGTAAAACGAATGTTTAATTTATGAGTAGAGTTAAATGTGGAAGAATGTAAAGAGGGTGAATTACCAGTGGTTGGCTAGTTTTAGAATCATGTATTTAATGAGTATGGCTTTGCCATGATTGCCACTGAGCAGACTTGGAAGATACTCTTGCTTTTAGAAAAAGTTAGCACTCTAGTACAATAGGAGATAGAAAATGACCATTTTAAATACAGTGCTTCTTTTTAGATTTGTAAGGGCCGTGGTTTAACAGTACTTAAAATTATGGTGGACACACATTCATAGCCTATTCAAAATTTAATCCCAGTTTAGTAAATATGAACACTTCATTACCAAGATGTATAGAAGACTATAGCCAAATCAAACTGCACTTAATACTTACTCCACAAGAGATACCTTAAAACACTGTCCAATAAAGGATTTTATGATATAGGGCTACATTAAGGCAAAAAATCTGAAGCCCTATAGAGGTATTATTCAACGTCTTAGTGGAAGGGACTAAAGCAGAAAAAAAATTACAGTAAGTAGAAGGTTCCTTAACACTGTCAATTAAACTAAAATGTCTTGAGTCTTTCATGTAGTTGTAGTTAAAATACTGCTTTTCTGAACTGCAGCTTTTCTGTGCTATCAAACTTTATGTATATAGATGTGGATTTATGTAGTATGTGCACATTTCTATTTTTGTAGCATTCAGGTTCATGTGATTTTTATGCAGCCCATAAAAAGTGTTTTCTTTCAGAAGTCCTACCTCGTTCGCTTCAAAATTTAAAATAAATATATTTCCAAAAGCTGGTAGGTTTTGTTTACTTTGTATCTTGCCACACATCTATTATTCTTTGAAATTAGTTTATACAGCCAGGTAATGTCTTGCAGTTTGAAACATGTTCATTCAATACTCAATACATTGCCACCTCTATCAGCAGTAAACCTGTAATCTTCCACTGAAGACGTGTGATGGTCACTAATGCAGATGATGTTCTATACTTAGAAATATCCCAGCAAGGGGTGTGTATAAAGATTGGAAGAATTTAAAAAGCCTGCCAAGCAGCATAAAGATGTCCATAGGAAATTTAACATTTTTTAATGTGCAAACCTTTAATTATGGAAGAAGTCATGATTAATAGTGGCCCTAAACATAAGAAATTAGAAAATCCCTCTGCATAGCCAGTTTAAGAAAAATAACCACACTTTTTTTGCAAGTCTAAACAGCGATTTTACACAATTTTACATGCCATTTAGAATGTAGTGTAGTTACAATTTAACACTTCTACACCTGTGATTAATTCAGAATGGGCCCTTGTGTGTAAAATACCATGGCTATGGCTACACTGCCCTCTCTTGTGCAAAAAAATATGCAAATGAGGAAGTGAATATCGCCACCTCATTTGCATACTTAATGAGACACGATTTTTGCGCAAAGGAGCTGTACACACGTCTCCTTTTTGTGCAAAACCCCCTCTTGCGCAAGAGCCATTCTTCCTGAAATAAAGCGGCAGAATGGCTCTTTTGCATATTTTCTTGTGCAAGAGAAGGCAGTGTAGCTGTAGCCTATAAGTTTAGTGCTAATTTATAGCCAAGAGCTTGGTTCCAATAAGTATTTCTCAGGATCAACAACTGTTACATAAACAGCACATTATGAGCTTACAAACAACCTGGAATAAATCCCCTCTCTTCCTCAAATTACATGTGATCCTCTCCTTCACAGCTATGGGGCATGGTGATGAGAAATATTCTGCCTCTATTTGTGGTACTGATTTTCTAGTGTGTCTGTAAGACTCTTTGCAGTCATTAGTCTAAGTACTAAATAATTTTTTTAAGGATTGGGTCAAAATAGAAAAAAAAACTTTTCACTTCTGTGTGTTTAAGTTTAGAAAGAATCCTGCACCCTCTCGCCACCTTGTATTTAAATAAGCATATGCAATTACAAAGTGAATTTCCATAAATCATAGAATTTGTCATATTAATGTGTTACTCTGGATAAAGGCAACTAGGAAAACAGGAAGCAAGGAGGTGACCCTGTATCGAAATAGCCTGTTTCAGAAGGTGCAAGCACTCTTTTCCCATATCTATCACCTGTATGGAATATTTACTCTGTGCACTCTCCCCATGTGATCCGATGTAAATAAAGAATGACATTCCAGGTAAGTTAACAAGTGTATTAAGGGATTTAAACCACAATAACTGGGAAAGATGGGAGAATTCAAATTAGAACTAAAATCAAAGAACACGAGTAAGCGTCCTTAATCAACAAATAACTCTTTGGCCAATAAGAAGAGAAAAGATGACTGTAAAGACCCCAAAAGCAAACAACCTCGTTTACACTTTAAAGGCACCAATGGGTGCTGTGCGCAGCCACGGCCTGGGATCTTCTACCCTTGAGGTAATTGGAAGCTCTTGGGGAGGAACTCTGGGGAGATCCTAATGGGGACCTTCAATGAGTAATGGGGGATCCCTTCCCTCGTCACAGCCTTGATGGAGTTCTGGTGGTTGGGTGCTGACCACAGTGAAGATGGAAATGACCACACCCCCACCAGCTGCGCAGAGCTTTATATTATTTCTATGGCGCAAAAACTCTGAGGTGATGGTACGTTTAGGGTCCGCTCAAGTGGGAAAAATCAGTTTCAGCCGGCAAGAACCAGCACAGCTCAGAGTTCTCTAGCTGCTGACAGGCACATTGGTCAAAATGGAGTTCTTAGGATTAAAAGGTCACAGTCCATCTTGAATGGCTTTCACAAACACTCCAATACAAACCCATACATTGATACATTTACCCTTTATTCCCAACAAAGAGTCCGAAAGATTGTTAAAAGGATGAGATTTATGAGAGATAATGGCATTAGACCCTCCTATTATTGATGATTTTGCATCTGGGGATCAAGTGCTCCTAGACTTTCAAGCAACTACAAATGACTTCATGATTTTGGTTGATTGGAAATATTACTGAGATATCTCCAAGGCGTACTCAGGAATTTCAACCAGTGCAAAATACAACTGTTTGCAACTAAATGGTGGTCTGTGTATGGGGCATGGATTTTTAATTCTAGGGATGTAAGCAAGTCGTCAAGTAGCTGACTACTCAACAAACCTAGCATTAAGGTAGTTGAGTCAATCATTCACTCCCTGCCCCCTTGCTGCCTCTTGAAGGCAGCGAGGGGGAGCAGAAGCCAATACTGGGGAGAGCTGGCTTAAAGGCTGGTTCCCCCCAGCACGGTCTCCGTGATATCATCTGCCCTCGCCCCGCGCTTCTGCCTCTCTATTAGAGGTTGAAGCGGGGGAGAGGCTACCACAAAACAGCCTTTCCTGGATGTCCCAGGTTGGCCATGGGCAGAGGCTGCTCTGGCAGCAGCCCCTGTCCACAGGGACCCCCCATGGACAGGGGCTGCTGGACCCCGTGTGAGCCGGGACTGAGCAATTCCAGCTCAGTCCCAGCTTGCACAGAGTCCAGGACCTACCCCTGCTGCACCTCTGTAGTTTAAATGTAGTAGGAGCCAGGCTGTCTGTGCGCCCAGCTTTTACTACATTTAAATTGCAGAGCTGCAGCAGGGGTAGCTCCTGGACCCGGTGTGTACTGGGACTGAGGAAGCCTTCCTTTGTCGATTAATCGTATTAAATATTATCAACTACACAATTAGTGAATTACCTGCCTTTTAACATTGTTAGTCTATTTTAGGTTCAGTATAAGGTGTTGATGTATAAGACTGACTCCATGCTACTAGAGAGTACTCTCTCCCTGTGTACCATTTCAGCAGTAAGTACAATTATGGTAAATGGATTTAGCACAGTAAGAAGCTCACTTTCATACATTTGCTGCATATTTAATTGTGTACCTACACCTGTTGAATATTGCTTGGTCCCTAAATACAAATTAAACAATATCTAGTTTCAGTAGTGACAGCAGGCTAGGAGACAGGTTGTAAGTCCAAATAGCTCTGGGCATAAGATGATCACTAGCTGGGAGTAGGAATAGGTTGCCTCTTGTCATATATTTTAGTCTGGTAGAATATGATGTTGCCCTCTAATACTGAGGTTGCCTTCTGAATACTGCATGGCTACATCTACACTGCAGGCTTTTTTGTGCAAGAACACTTGTTCTTGCACAAAAACTTGCCAGGTGTCTACACTGCATGTGCGTTCTTGTGCAAGTAAATTTACAGTACAGTGTTGGAAAACAGGGCTGCTTCTGGAAGAGTTATTCCTCTCCCCATGAGGAATAAGCCCTCTTGTGCAAGAGCTCTTCCACAAGAAGGCAGTGTAGACAGGCAACATGATTTTCTTGCGCAAGAAACCCCTATGGCTAAAATGGCCATCAGAGCTTTCTTGTGCAAGAGAGTGTCCACACTGCCATGGATGCTCTTGCGCAAAAGGATATGGCAGTGTGGACGCGCTCTTGTGGAAGACCTTTTGCACAAGAACTCTTGCGCAAAACAGTTCTTGCACAAGAAGCTTGCAGTGTAGATGTAGCCTGTGTGTTTGACTTTTTTAGTTGTGTTCTCAATTCCTTAGGGTAAATCTCTTCCACCTGCTCTACCACCTATGTGCAAAATAAGCACCATTCCCATTCTCTTTTGTTAGGGGGATTCTAGATTCTTGGGCTGCATCTAGACTTGCAAGTTTTTCCGCAAAAGCAAGTGCTTTTGCAGAAAAACTTGCCATCTGTCTACACTGGCCGCTTGAATTTCTGCAAGAACACTGACTTCCTACTGTCTGAAATCAGCGGTTATTGCGGAAATACTATGCTGCTCCCGTTCGGGCAAAAGTCCTTTTGTGCAAAAGGGCCAGTGTAGACAGCTCAGATTTGTTTTGCGCAAAAAAGCCCCGATCGCGAAAATGGCGATGTAAATTTACAGTACAGCGTCAGAAAAGAGGGCTTCTTCCGGAAGAGTTATTCCTCTCCCCACGAGGGATAAGCCCTCTAGTGCAAGAGCTCTTCCACAAGAAGGCAGTGCAGACAGGCAACATGAATTTCTTGTGCAAGAAACCCCTATGGCTAAAATGGCCATCAGAGCTTTCTTGCACAAGAGTGTCCACACATCTCTTGTGCAAAACCATATGGCAGTGTGGACGCGCTCTTGTGGAAGACCTTTTGCACAAGAACTCTTGCGCAAAACAGTTCTTGCACAAGAAGCTTGCAGTGTAGATGTAGCCTGTGTGTTTGACTTTTTTAGTTAAGTGTTCTCAATTCCTTAGGGTAAATCTCTTCCACCTGCTCTACCACCTATGTGCAAAATAAGCACCATTCCCATTCTCTTTTGTTAGGGGGATTCTAGATTCTTGGGCTGCGTCTAGACTTGCAAGGTTTTCCGCAAAAGCAAGCGCTTTTGCAGAAAAACTTGCCATCTGTCTACACTGGCCGCTTAAATTTCTGCAAGAACACTGACTTCCTACTGTCTGAAATCAGCGGTTATTGCGGAAATACTATACTGCTCCCGTTCGGGCAAAAGTCCTTTTGTGCAAAAGGGCCAGTGTAGACAGCTCAGATTTGTTTTGCGCAAAAAAGCCCCGATCGCGAAAATGGCGATCCGGGGCTTTTTTGCGGAAAAGCGCGTCTAGATTGGCACGGATGCTTTTCTGCAAAAAGTGCTTTTGCAGAAAAGCGTCCGTGCCAATCTATATGCTCTTTTCCGCAAATGCTTTTAACGGAAAACTTTTCCATTAAAAGCATTTGTGGAAAATCATACCACTCTAGACATAGCCTTGCTGATTTGGGGCACGAGGAAGGGGAAAAAAGGGAAAAGATATTTTTGTTCTGAAGTTCTAAACCTTAGGCTCCCTGAACAGGGAGGAAGCTCTAAGAT